GAAAACTGTTTTTAGAAAAGGCTTCTGTCAGTTACAGTAGCGCCAAAGAGGCTGTGGAAAACAACTTCATGTGATAGATAGCAAGGAAACGTCTGCAGGACTTCTTACTGAACCACTAGGAAATGGTTACCCTTCATATCCACACAGATGTTGTTCACATTTTTAAGGTGTCTGCAAGCTTGCATGTTTTCTTCAAGCAAATTCCCTTTAGGGTTCACTGAAGACTAGATACAGACTCACAAAATATCTAACACCTAGATTAATGGACATGAAAGAAGACAAGGAAAGGCTGATGTTTAAAGTAACTTACGGCACCTCGGTAATCTTATCTCACAAATGCTGTGAGCTAAATGCCCTACCTGATATAGGGTATGTTGCAGTTGTAGATTGGAAGGCAACAGAGGACAAAAGTGAAATTAATAAATAAAAGAGTCTGTCTTTAAAAAAACTACAATTGTACACAGTTACTTACAATCTAAACAGGAGGCAGGAGCTTAATTATTTAGTTGCAGCTTGGCTTTTTTTAAAAAAACAAACCCAAAACCAACCTCCCCCCCAAAAAAACCCCACCCCAACAATTTCCCTATCCTGTTCAAACTGGTGAGTAAGCCTAGATTGCATCAAGTGAGATCTAAGCTGCCCCTTCTCTTAAATGCCATGGAGGCTGAGCCTGTGCAGCCCTCCCACAAGATACTGGCACAGCGGTGGTATACAGCTACCCAACTCTGAGCCTCCTTGAGGGTATTGCTTCAACAACAGCTAATTGTGCTATTGCCAAATGGTTCTGGATTCTGCGTGATGGGAGAACAGAACAACAGCTTTTATTTTCACTTGGCTGGGATTCGAAAGCTGATCTTGACATGAAAAAGCAATGTCCTGTCTCACAGTTGACACTGGAGTGCCTCCCCTATGCAGAGCTAGGACAAACAAGGCTGAGACTTAATCACAAAAGTAGTAGAATTTTAGCTAGCAGCTGGTGCAGGAGAAGCCAGGTGTTTCCAGGGCCAGGTGTTTTCCAGGGAGATAACGATTTAAAAATCATTATCTCCACCCCCTGTGACAAGATGGGGAAAACTGCCCCACCTAAGCAAGAGAGCTCGTATAGATTCCTCCTATTCACTATTTTCAACCAGTTGCTCTTGGCTGACTTGGGGCTGAACCAGTGAGGCACTGGCACAAGGAAACTGCAGTTCTTGGCTTTCTGGACTTTTTTTTTTTTGGTGGAGGGATGGGACACAAGGAGAGGTTCAGTGTAAAATTCTTGCTTGGAAGCTGCAGGAGAGTGCTTAAATAAAGACCAGCTGAATCAAGCAGAGCTTGACCACAGTTTTTGTTCCATCCTGAAAAGGGCAAGTCCAGGTAACCTGACATTAACATAGCAGAGAGCGCTATTTTTAATCAGTCAGATTTTCATAGCCTGTTCTTTCACACAGTATGCACTGGCTTCTGTCGAAAGTGGAAGTCCCCTTTTTCGGTGGAATATTAGGTAAAAAACGATATGTTGATAACAAGCACATTTAAAGAATGCATGTTCCCTTACGTTAGCATTTCAGTGCTTAACCCTGTTGTAGCAACTCCCATTTTTGGAGGACTGGGTCAAAATGTTCTACCTCGTTCTGTACACAATATCATGCAGCTCGTGAAATCAGACAATGAAAGGATGTACTGTATAGAGAGAAAACTGGAAAAGGTCACAAATCTCACTTTGCAGAGAATCCTTCAGTTTTGGGTTTGGCTCTTTTTTTTAGCTGCTGTTCTTCACATTCAGTAGTCTTTGTCAGGGTAAGGAGAAGCAGCAAGAACATCCCATGGTCCTGAAACATGGTGGCTTCTGCTGCTAACAAAGTCCTCAATGGTGATGGACAAGAGACTGGGCGCTCACCAGCATTCAGCGCTCTCACACAAAGTAGCTAAGTCACAAGCTTACTGCTTTCCCCAGTGCAGGAGCTCAAAACACTGACAGACTATCAGAGAGGACTGTCCAAAGTGGTTAGCTGGTGTGGTGACACAATTGTTGTGTGGACACAGCCAGCGGCTGGATTTTGCTGTTTCTTGTGCTGGAGGAGTTTTTTTGCCATCTCTCTTGGCACACTCTGCAGAAATCTGTCACTTGTATTACAAGCAATGCTGGCACTGAGATAGGGTGTGATGCTTCTCAACATGTCTCCAGGTGCCCAAATTGTTGGCAGACTTTCCATTTAGACAGGTGCTGTAAAAACAAAACACCTTCTTTTTAGAAAAAAGAAAAGAAAAAAAATCCCCCAGATATAATCATGTCCTAGAGTTGTTTTTTCCTACGTAACCAGTGGAACAAGCTGCAAAGCTATGGAAAAGATGTATTCATGCTGCTGAGAGAGAATCAGCCGGAGTGAAGCCCTGTCTCGATACCCGAGACACTGGGGGCCCTCTGCCCTTGTGCCACAGTCTGAAAGTGCCCCTCCTGCATATGCAAAAAGTGCTCTCCTGCTAACATCCCTCCCTTGTGAAGGGATGTCAGTGTCACCTTTGGTTTGTTTTAAGCTACTTCACAAAACAAGATGCACAAAACTCATCTGTGGCCAAGGGAAAACAGCTTCCTGAGGCTCCTCTACAGGCAGTGAAGGGATCCCTCCAGACAGCAATTCAGAATTGCTCCAGCTCTGAATTTCTTCTCAGTGGATCATCGTGCCCCCCTGACTGTAATGGGTGTCTGGAGAGACTAAACTCCACCAGGATGAAGTTACTCTTCTTCGCAACCTGCCTTCCCTATAGTTTCCAAAACTTTTTTCTTTGTAACAGCAAAGCTAGTCTCAGTAGGCTCTTTTTGGTTTTGCTGTATTCAGGATTCCCACCCTCTGTGAAACAATCTGACCTTCTTCATAAAGTGAAACCCATAGAAGCAGAAACATTTACATCAGTACTGAAAAGCAAAATGCCGTGGCAGTGTCCCTGGGGGTGCGACCTCCACAGTACCTTACTCCCCATCTACCACGCACAACTTGCTTGAAAATCTCAAATCATCATTTAATTAAACTAGAATTTCTCCAAGAGCCCAACTTTTTGCCCCATGGTAGTACCAGCTATTTCTGAATAATTCCTGACAGATACTGGTTTCCTCTTTCGTTAAGAATAAAACAGAACAGCAACAAACCTGGACTGAGGGAGACTTGATAGCCTGCACAAACTCTCTACTTTGGTGCTCAACTACCATTACTCTTAGAAAGACCTCTTCTCCTAACATGTAGCATAAATCTCCTTTGTTTAAGCCTGTTGTGCCTCAAGTGCTGTGTCCGCTGGGTTAGGGCAATAAATAACTTGTCCCATCCTCTTTAAGGACGCTCTGAAGAGGTTTGTTAACTCTTCTTAATCAGCCTTGCCATCTTCCAATTTAAGCAAACATAACCAATCTTTCATCAGAGATCACATTCCCCAGATGATTCTAATTTCTCTGGTATTGGTCCAAGTTGCTCTCAAATTGGGATGCTCAAAAGATACTGCCTTCTATGCCTTACATGGCTCTGTTGGAAGAAAACAGCCCTCAGAGGTGGGACAGTTTCTGATAGCAGAAAGCTGCTGTTCCACATCCGCTCCCACAAATGGTGCAGAGACACGTCAAGGAAAAGACAGTTTCTGGAAGGCAAATGTCTTTGTTTTGTTGTTAACAAACAAATAATGCTACAGCAGCCTTCAATGTAAGATAAATATTTACTCCTATTTATGTCACAGAGGTTTTTCTACTTATGGGCTAAGTCCAGGGACCTAATAAAGTAGGGCCTCGTATAAGCAAGTCTGGAGAAGAAAAAGCTGACATTAAATGAACTGCTTATGTTATGTTAATGCAGCTCACAGGAACAGAAGGAGAAAATGTCTCTTTATCAAGGAGAAAAATCCATCCTCCTTTCTACAGGAAACAGTGTAATGCCTGTTCAATGTTGAACAAACACAAATGTTGTGGATCAGGCTGGGGCTGTGTGATGGGTCTGAAAAATAACCGACCATTAACCCAGTCTGTATGACCACCAAAGAAGTTCTAGAAAAAGTTTTTTAATTTAAGAGTTATTTTGCTTCTGCGTGATATTATGAATTGGGTATATTCACAGCATCTGCTAGGGCAAACCATGCTTTCACTATTACAGTTTTGGTGGAACCACAATATTTTCTGCCTACACAACCAGACAAGAGTCATTTGTTTCAGTAGAAACTACCAAATGAAATATAAAATAGGCAGATATTTCCTCCTCTCTGTACTCTCGCAAGTCCCCTGTGTTGAGTTTGTTTTTCCAAATTTGTCTCAGATTTTTTTGCCCTGTTTTTATTTATCACTATAAATGATAAATGAATTTGTAAACTAGCTGGCCTGCAATACTGTATTCTTGCTTATAAAAATAGGAACACGTTGAAGGTCTAAACTGCATATTTTTTTTCTCTAGCAAAGGAGTGTGCTTAGTACTTTTAGAATTGGGTGTATATATGCTTAGGGTCATAGACATGAGGCATATGATGTTCCTGTATCCCAGCTAAAGATTTCCTAGGATATGGTGCCTAAAAAGGCACAGAACAACCATTTGGTGATGGGCACTGACATGATATGAAGTGATAAATGGTCAGTGTTGTCCAGACTTGAAAAATCAGCATTTAAAACAGACTTTCCAAGTTTGGCTCTGCCTGGCTTATAGCATAATCCACCCATCTTGATGGCAATAGTAGCTTCAGCACAGCTGTAGAACAGGAGGGGAGGGTGGCTTCAGCCTGTACACTCTGTGTCCACTATCAATTTGTCATGTCCTTTGGCCTCAGCTGTTGAAGGAACTTCTGGGAACCGAGACTCTCAGGCTGCCTTTGGCAATGCTTACAGAGCTCAAGGAAAGGGCTGAGACAAGAAGTAGGGCTACAGCTTTACATGCTTGAGTTTGTAACATCCAGCAAGTCTAATCCAAAGGCTTTGTGCTGAACTTGAGTACTGAAGGTACGAAGTTAAGTCACTCTTGAGACAAATACAGTAACATATTTTTAATACTTACAGTTGAGTTCCCCTCTGTCTTCATTTGGTTGGACATCTGTTGAAACAAATGCACTGTTTTAAGTATGTAGGATAGATAACTATAGTCTTTAGCCAAACAGGATTAATATTAAGCAACATCGACCAAAGTTGAGGGTTCGATGTGCTAAATGCTCTTTGGATAGCAAAATGCAGTCCATACTCTATTTGCTTACAATTCAGGTTCTCATTTCAGCAAGGATAGATTTTGGGCTTGAAGCAACAGCCCTGCTCCATGTTTTGGGACAGAGTCCTGCACCACTTCTGGGTTGTTTCTGAAGGAAGGACATGGCTCCTAGCACAGCTGCTGCAGATGCTGAGCAAGATCACTACCCTGCTTTCTCGTGCTCTTTTCTGAAGCACCTGGGCTTGCTAGCCATGAGGAAGAGGGCATGGATTGAAAATGTGGTTTGTCCTTGTCCATAAAAAGTGTGGTTGCCCCTGCTCCCTTTTCTTAGATGTTAGCTCTTGTGCTAAGGTGGCCTACAGAAGTACTCTGATACATCAGCAGACTGAGTCTGGTTCACAAACTGTCTTTTAGAGCTACCTTCTGTTCTGTCTTGCCAAGCACTGAAGAGTCCTGCATGTGGGCAAATGCAGCAATACAAGGATGTATACAAGGATGTACAAGGAAAACAAGCATGTACAACATGGAGTGACAGTGAGACACGCTTTATTTCTAACTTATAGAAAGCTGCTTGATCTCAGTGGGATCTTGAACCCTTAATTGCCCAGCCAGTGATTCTGAAGCTCTCAGGATTGATTTATCCTCTGATTTCTGCTTTGGATTGTGCTAAGCAGAGACAGCTACTGACCCCAGTCTTGTTCCATGGAGGAGCATGCCCTCCATTTGTCCAGAAACAGTCTGCAGGGATCACAGCCCAGAAACTATGGCCTGAACAGGCACAAACTCTGAGTTACTCTCACATCCAGCAGTTAACTCCTGTGAGGCTCAGATGGATTAGCAGAAAAACGTAAAGAATAACATGTTCTGGGGCACTGTATGGCCTCCCCAGGGAACCCCAGGGTTTTGATAACAGCATGATTTCCTGCTGTTGTGTGCAGAGAATTTATTCATACCTTCTAGCAATGTGCTGGATGACATTAAATATTTTAGCAAATTAAAAAGAATTCTTCAGACTAGGTCATGCAAATGAAGGTCCTCATTACCTGTGTAGGACGCTGGTTTAGAGGATCTCCGTCTCCACAGCCAGCAGATTAAAACAGCTAGAAGACCTATCAGAATGACAACGGAAACTATGCCAGCTGCTTGAGCACCTCGTCTATTTTTTTCCGGGTTTTTGTGACTTTCTGGGCTAGCACCATTGCTTTGCTTCTGCTGTGTGTCTAGAACAAAATAGGAAAAGGAAATAATAAGGTGTAAATTTTCACATTTCATACCAGGCAAATATTTTGACCACATTTTACAAGCACAAAAAGATTCTGAAGGACTAAATATTTGTGCTATTCATATCACTCTGATTCTGGTGGTATTCCTTCTGAGCAAGGCACATCTCCAGCTTATACTGTCCAATAACACAATGCCAGTTTACTCCTCCCTGTCATCATACTGCATGTACCCTTCTTTCTTCCTTTTTGTTCTTCTTTCCTGCCAGCTTTGGGAGACTGTGTGTTTGAGCTTGTATCTAGACTCAGTTGAAAATAAATCTATACGGAATCTACAACATAAATCTGATGGTATTCAGAAAGGTGGGTGGAAACCCATTTCCCTGAAGTTAGTGACAAACTTCTACTGATTGCTGAAAACTGAAGGTTTAAAATCCCATCTCTTTCTCTTTCAAGTGTGGTAATGCTTTTAGAAACCAACAAAAAAAAAATAAGATGAAGGTCTTTTCCCTCAGAATACAATGGCAGAATACTATTAGGAAACTAACAACAAGGTTACTTAGTTTTCCTTTAATCTGTGATGACAGCAAAGGTATGCTATACAAACACTGTACTGTGCAATTTTGAGCACACAGTTTTTGTTCCTGGAAACAGTTTAATATATATCCCCTGGCTATGTTTGTGGGATGAGTGTCAAGTCCAGAGTATGTGGTTCCTTGGTGTGTTCAGGTATATTAACTGTGGGTATCTAGCTACAGTTATGCAAGCAACCAAACCTCTTTGCACCAGAGTGCAGAAACCTGCGAGAGAAAGGTGTGGTCAGAGGCAGGACCAGGAACAGCAACAAGACTGAACAGCCACCTCCAGATAAGCTCTCCCACTCCAGATAGCTTCTCTGCACAGCTGCTTGGAAATCATGAAATTCACTATTGTTACTATAGCGCTTTTTTTTTTTTTTAAATAGCTTTCTGTTTTTGTGAAGGGTTGAGTGGCTAAATACTTGTTTTTACTATTGATCACTCATATCGGCAATAAATACCTTCTCTTACTTGTGCTACTAGGTGTATTGTTCTACTGGGCTAATATTACCTGTTTGGTACAGGCCTACATTAAAGAGTGCACTGTGTTAAACTGAGTTTTGGAGACTGAAAACAGAACTTTGAAACGAGGCAGAGTAAAACGCAAATGTGAGTGCCGCAAAGCAGCCCGGTAGGGGTTCAGGAATCGTGGATCTACTGTATGGTGCCCCCTGAAAAATAACGTGACTCTCCAAGTCATCATGCACCCAAGCAACCGAAGGGTAAATCCAGTGACTGCCTCGGACGCAAGAGCTTCTCAGTGCTATTGTCATAACACGCTTGATGGGGTGTTCGCTTCGGTGTGGAAGAAGTCAGAAGTAAACATAAAGTCCATGGCTAAGCTTAACTAGCTTGAAACAAAAACTGTGCTCTGCTCGGCACTTTTGGGAACTACTGAATTAATGCATACCCCTCGTTAGTGCGTATCTACAGACAGAGATGCACTGGCTGACAATCTGCTATCTAGAAAACATAAAGTATCATGAAGGGACTTACAGTTGGCTGACAGATTTTCCTGCAGTATTTTATTTTCTATGGAGCACTCTATTTGCATGTTAGAAGTGGCTTTAACCTTCAGTGTGCTAAAAATGCTGTAAGTGCCATCGGTGTGGGGGGTGATCTTTAGCTCTGATGGAGGCAGGTGGCTGTTGTCCGTTTTATTCACCCAATAAACATTGGGCTCTGGGTATCCATTGCCAGACCTGCAGCTGAAAGTCACCTCCTCTCCAGTACTGTCACTGTTTCTTATCGGTCCACTGAGTATTGGTTGGCTATAACTAGCTGGAGAGCAAGAGAAAAAGAAATAGTCATCGGCATGTTGAAAAGTATTGAAAAGACAAAATTTTGATATGCGTTCTGAAGCAGAAGTTCTGGGTTTCACACGACCTTCATGACTTGAAAGGGAAACACCTGCAGTTTTGGTATGTAAGCCAGAGCGCCGACAGAATTACTGGAAGGGCAGAAGGCTGAAGCCAAACCCAAAGGAAGAAAGCAACTTCTTAAACTGCTGTCACCCAGTCATGTTCAAGAGCCCTTATATTAATGAAAACCAAGACAAAGAAAAAAACCTATGCTGGATAAACAGCTGTTATGGGTACTCTCCCAGGTTTAGATTCCCTATCTGTAACATTTAAATTAAGCAGACTTCATTTTAGCAAAGGGCTGAAGTATGTTTCAAAGTTAAGGGTATACTTAAATGTAATATTGAAATGGCATGAATTTGAAAAGCTGGAATGAGAATTTGGGCAAATATGTGCAAGTGATACAAGTTCTTACCTGCTAAACTGAGAACCACTTCTGCCTGGTGAATCACTTTGGTATATTCAGTTTTCTGCAGTACTACACATTTGTACGTACGTTCATCACTCTGGCTGACGTTTAGTAGTAGCAGAGAAAAATCGCCATTTTCCAATCTATCCCAGAATAACTGAGTCCTGTTTTTAAAGTGAATACACTGTTCACTTTCGTTGTCTTGACCAGAAATCAGTGCATGTACAACTGAACACTCTTCTTGATCATCGGCTATTTGCCAATATACCCGCAGACTGTTTAAGTGCAATTCTTTTCCTCGATAAATGCAACTCAGCGTAGCATTGTCTCCAAGTTTACTGACGATAATCCTCTCCTCCAGTGCAATAACTGCAGGATTAAAAGAGAGAGAGGAAAAAAAGGGAGGTTATGTGGAAAAAATGTCATTCTTTTCAAGTGTATTCTTCCACATGGAACTGTAGTAAAAGATTTACTAATATTGGGTACTTGATACAGTGATGTATAATTCTAGTCATAATGCTATCCAGGCATATTAGAACTGCTTATCAACAACCCTTATTACCCCACTTCTAAGGCCTTTTGTAGGCAGAGATAAACACACAGGGATATCTGTAAAGCAAGCAGAGCAATCTAAGCAAGAGCATCCGTAAGGTCCTTTGCTATTCTTCTTACTGAAACTGATAGAAACTGATTTTTTCTTCTTTCTCTGATGCATGTCACACTGAGGAATTCTTGCTGAAAATATGCAGATGTTTATATTGTACATATTACAAATACTCTGTGTATTTGGTCAAACACGTTAAGGGAGGGACAGCTTCATTTTTAACTGAAGTGTTCTGAACTTACCAGCTCTCAGGATATGAAGGAGAAGTAACAGAAATCCATAGCTAAAATAAAAAAGCAAACAAGAGTGTTACAAGACAGACTTTAGCATCTCTGTTGTTTGTATAGTAGCAGAAGTAAGAAAATTAGGTACTACTACTATGTAATGTCCCATCAAGTATTTGCATTTTTGACAGCTGCAAAACCTCTGTTTAAACGACATAACTCTGTGGGTGGGTGGCCAAGGCCATGAATAGCAGTAACATGCACTAATATTGGAATCAGAGCAGAAGGCATGAAGCTGGTGTTGTGCCTGTCTTTCTCGTGAAAAAACTAACCGTATAGACTTACTGGACAAATAAGCACTGGAAGATATCTGGATCACTGGGAAGGAGCATGGCTGCACAGGCCTAAACCCAGGTTAAAGCCCTGCATCCCACTGTTTTCCTGAAACTCAATGAGTTATGGTTTTATCTGGTTAAAGGATGACAAGCAGCTGACCATGCTGCCCACCGTTTTGTGTATTCAGTAAAAATGTGTAAACAGGAAACGTGCTGATAGCAGGGAGCTGTGCAAAGGTTTTGCTGGAAAGAATTTGGTGTGTTTGATTACCCTGGAGGGCAAATTATGCAGGAGTTTCCGAAGGGAGTTACACCTGCTGGATGCTATCGGAAAACCCAGTTTAACCTATCTATAAAGTCCAGGTGATTTAACTCTTATCGCATAGGGCTTTAAGATAAATGTGCAGCACTTTCCTAAGAGTTACTTTAAAATAGCCTTTCACCACCATGCTTAGCTACACATTGTGCTCTCCTTCCTCCAGACCGCTTTGGGAAAGGAAAGGTAGACACTGGAAAGGTTTTGGAACGGGAGCTGTGTGGCTGCAGTTGCCCACCTTGATATTGGCCCCGGGTGCAGTCAGGTTGCAAAGCTGAGCCGATGGGCAGAGGGACATGAGCACCCGCTCATCCCCATCTTCCCCAGCTTGCTCTTGCAAGCAAGCGGGACTGTGGGGCCACACCGCCTGGGTGCAGCTGGTTCCCTTCCCCAGTTGTTCTCAACCCTCAGCCAGGTCCAACACTGAGCCAAGGGCTGGGGCAATGGGGAGAGCTGCCCCCAGCAGCCCACGTCCACCCAGGAGAGAGCTCCAGGGTCTCCCACCCAGGCTGCTCACCTTCTTCCCTCCAAACAAACCCTGCCCTGCCTGACCTAAGCCTACTCCCCCAGCAGTCAGTTCTCACCTTGCTTTTCCCCATCAGCTGTGCTTTACACCATCCCCTCTCTCTTCCTGGCCTCCTGCCCTTTCCCCACAGCTCCTGCCCCTTTGTCCAGCCGAGCATCAGGATTCATCCACCACCTCGCAGGCACAGCACCGCTTCTGCCCAGCTTTACTCCTGCCTGCTGCCTGGGCACAACTTGGGTCTTCTCTGCTGTGGAGGAGGGTCTCTAACTCCCACCTGCCCCCAGGAAAATTATGATCTTCCCAAACGTATTTGGCTTCCCGTGGAGAAAGCAGAGGACATTCCTGACACAAAATCTACCTCCACTTGAAGCCCCATCTCCAGAGAATGAGATGGGGAAAGTTTAGGGAAGAGTCAGTCTGAACTGTATTACTTTTACATGAAGAAAACACTTTCTTTTCCTTTTCTGCATCCTTTGAAATGGTTTCACAGACGCGGTTTCAAAAGCGCAAGTGGATGCCCAGTGTGGAACATTCCTCTCTAGTACTTATTTTAGTAAATCCGCAATCAGCCCTAAAGTAAGTCTCCCAAGTATGCCTACCTAAACCCTCCAGGGAGGCAGCTCTGCTCTGTTCTGTCTCTGGCAGTGACTTTTGGTGGCTTTTGCACGTGGTCTTGTATTGTATTTGTTGTATGCTGTGCAGGAGCCATCCCTTCTGTGCCAGGCTTGTAGAGGTCTGACTCGACAAACTCACCTTAACGTAGTTCTTAATTGTTCTTAATCCTGTGTCTGTGTTTGTTTTATTGTTCCCCGCCCAAGTTAGAATTGATGGATATAGTCAGTCATTTGAATTAAATGGAGAACAACAATTGACTGATCTTTATGGGACTTCTCAGGGAATTTCCCGTGGCAGGCAACCTCCCCGCAGGGGGTGATGGCTGATGCCAAAAACCATTTAGCTAATCAGCCAGAACTGATTCTTTAATGTATGTATACAAAGCACGTCTTGATTTCTTGTTTTAATAAATGATGTCACAGTTAAGATTGGACAGATCTAGAGATGCTCATCCTCCTACTTGGAGGAGGTTGCACCTGTGGTAGTGTGGGGGCAGTGTCAGCCCATCATGTTCCCCTGGAATAGCTTTAATGCCAAGCTCCTGTTGGAAAAAGGGAGAAATGCTCTCGCCTGCAGAGAAACCTCCCTTTGCCCCATACATACACTCAGCTCCTGTGTCCATCGCACCGGCAGCGAGCTCCACTAAGTGCAGGTGCAACTGCATTAGTTTCTTAGGTTCTCTCTCTCCTTTGTTTATTTGTTATAAAATACTTTTTTTTCCTTTTTCAACTCTTT